CTGCCTCAATATATATCAAAAAGAGATGTTTATCTTAAGTATCTATACACAAAGATAAAAATCTGAACAAAACGTGGATGGACATATCGAAACAAAAGGAAATCATAAACTAAACTAAGAGCTCCAAAACAGTACGTACATGCATTTCCTATACAAAACATTGCTTCTGTGATGAAGGGAAAGACAGGATAAACAAGTTTGTATAAATCTCAGTTGTGAATCATTCCAATTCCCCATGTATATACATGTAACCATGACTGTTTTTAGTCATCCTCGATATCCATGGTTTACGGTTACATGTAGCCATGACTGTTTTTAGTCATCCTCGATATCCATGGTTTACGCTCACTTTTGCTCTCTACACCCCTGGAATATGTCATAGCGAAAGTGAAGGCTCGATGTGCGCCACCTTGTTGATGAAACAAGAAGACTAGTTCGATCCTTTGATATACATCAAGTTAGTAGTGATATGAATATAAGATATTAAGCTAAGAAGAGGAGGGTAGTTTTCAAGTTCTATAGGAACAATTAGATACAAATAATTCGAGAAACGTAACATCTTTAATAAGTCAATGTAACATTAAATGATTGGGAAAGTAAATTCATTATTACTGAAATACAAAAGCAGACAAGATAGAAATGATACACACTTGGTCGTCATTGGAAAACCAAGTATTGATGGGTGAAAATAAGGTTATTTCCTTAACGAAAAATATCGTCTACATCTATGAGTTGGAATTGGTTCCAATTCATACGATTTTTCGTTGATGTCGATGGAGCTGGTTTAACATGATCGTAAAGAGTTTAGAAGCTTTCGGTGAAACTATGCCCCGCAGTAAATTATTTTGCCCAAATTAAGACAATTGTATCATTTTATTTGTGAAAGTGTTTCAATCTTTTTCCTTTAGAAATTCTCTCAATTCCTATTTTAGATTGGATCTTAGTGCAGAAAAGGTGCTTTCTGAATTTCGCTCTTCAGTTTATCGCAAAAAGGTTTTAAGATAATTTTTGTTCTCGACGTAAGTATCTTGTATACTGGAATGACCGTGAAAACATCTAAACACTAAACAGCCTCATAATGATAATTTCACAAGTAATCCTTCAGTTCACCCAGATATGGCCGACGGCAACATTTTCTGTTTCCCTAGGGATTCTGGGACAAATCAAGTTTGAGCATGGATCGCACTTACCGAACTTAGTTAGTTTTTTATTGTGTTTTACCATTACTAGTACACATCTGATTGGCAAGGAAACCTGTTATTCTGACCTGAATCTGATATATTAGACATGGTTACAAATTGCTCCCCAGAAAAGTCAATTATCTTCACTCGGGCACTGTGACGCAGATACATTTGGTCAAAAGGGTATATGTGTACTATTGTAAGCCTAAGCTAACCATTAATCTCCCTGAAAGCTTCATTGTACCCTTATCGCTTAGTTCCCTTTCATGAAACCTACAATGTACTTAATTATCACCTATTTAGCAGTGAAATCAATAGTATGTGAATTCAATAAGTCTTTTTTCACTGTAGTGACAAATGTTTTATTTGGAAAAGCCTAAAATCAGACACGACCTATGTCAGTTAAAACTATTTTCTTTTTTAAACTTAAACAAGAAGCTCTCAAAGAAAGCACAATGAGAGCTTCAAATATTGCTATAAGCAATTCAGATCTTCTAAATGTCACGTCACAAGACTTTCATCTTTTTTAACATTCCTTATTCAAGAAATAGCATTTATTTTAATGTAATAAATAGAATCAAGTGGGTTTTTACTGTTGAATACCCATGTGGCAGATACTCAAATAGTTTCACTTTCGCTTCAACCAACTCAAATATACTTTTATACATGATCTTGCACGCGAATGAAAAAACCCATATGTCGCTTTGCTCAATTTTGATTAAAACATCAAGATGTATTTTCCAATTTACTTTTATTATCACACTGAAGAGCATTTAAATGGCTTAAACACCGTGCGCATGCAGTGAGTAAATGTAAAAGTCTTTGACTCTATAATTCTATAAAACCTGAAAACTGTTGGTCTGTTCAAAAATATAATCAATCATGGCATCGTTTACTGTTCAAGGTGACATTTTGTTTTTTTACCTTTTCGCTTGCTTGATTTCATTACCTTTAATATGTTTTATAGAACTTTTATTAGCCCTAATTACCTCTTGTCTGTTCAGATCTATCAGATCCGTTTTGCTCTGGTTTTATTCGGTTTGGGGACAGAACCTATAACCTTTCTTGCCTTGGCGTGATAACTCGGTACTTGCTGCTCAATTAACCTAACCAAGCCACATCAAATTAAAATTAAAAAATAAATAAAATGAAAGAAAGATTATTGACAGCAAACGAATTAGTTGTATATATCTTATTGTGAATAATTGTTTATCAATGGCTCGGAAAATGTATATTATTACGTGGTATATCACCTGATCTACCTATCACGTCAGTGTTATGTGACCAGGTGGAATGTGCTGGATGCCTTCGGCATTGTATTTCAGTGCGATAGCACTATAAAGTCGTCATCAGATCCGCGCTATCACCAGAAGACAAGTACACTAACATTTACATACAAACAGGTGCATGGACGCACGCCCTTAGATGTTCTTAGCTGTTCATGGCACGTTATACAAAATAGAACCAAATCAACCTAAAATGTCTAATGTTGCCTGTGTATACAAAAACCTGATGTAATAATCATACCTGAACGTCTATCTGTGTCTGCGTTGTTAATACCTGCTTAAGTTTTTTGCTCCTTTTTAACATTATAACCCTTTAGTTTAAGTTTGACGGATTCCTTTTTGTGAACGTCTGTTTTTACTGTGGTTTGATCCTTAATTACCCAAATTGCCGATAAGCCGTAACAAATAAGTAAAGTATATAAACAAAAAACTATAAACACTAAAACAACGTTTTCAAAATCAAGCTTCTATGTTTCTTATCGACAGCAGTACACTGTTCTAAAATTATATCTGAATTTAGTTTCCTTCGCGACATCAGAGATGCTTAATCTTCATTACACACTCTTACAGGATAGGAAAGGAAGGAAGACCAACCCTATTGCAATGCATGCGATACATCGTTTTCATTGCGTTAATTTACAACTGATTGTACCTATTTTATACAAACGCATCGCACAAATTGAATGACCAACTATAATAATCAATGTTTGATCCATTTTCTGTCTTATGAATTTATATCTGATTTAAAAAAAATATATATATGATAAGACCAATATAACTGTAATTGATGTTTTTGTCCGTTTTTTACCTTTAAATCCTTTAAAATATTAGAATGATCCATTCCTTTTTATGAATTTCAATTTTTTAATTATTGATTTAGCTCTAAATTACCTAAACTGCCGATTGGGAGTCGTAAAGATACAGAAAAGTTCCAGCATTCGCGGTTTTTGTGCCTATGGACGTAGCGAAAAAGTCTGTCGTGTCTGGCGTTAACACCTGATGAAGATATTCCGTCATTCGTATCTGGGATTAAGACCGGGTGAGGGTAAGACTTCTTACGTTATCTGCAGCGTTAATACCTGACGTAGATATTACAAATATTTAGGGGGGGGGGGTGTTGTCGCTAATATCTGATAAAGCTATCAAAAGTACGTCTTAAGTTGTCTGTGGCGTTACATGTAATGCTGGATTTATATGTTGCGTCTTTTTCTTACTGTGACGTTAATACCTGATGTATCTGTTAGTCTATTGTCTGTGGCGTTAATGCTTGACAAAGCAAGTCCATCTTTTTCGATGCGACGTATGTGGGAGCCCCTACAGAATTGGGGATTTGCTTTTGTGCCCTCACTTCGGGACATAAAAGTGACCATTTTAAGTTTGCTGCACCCATTGCAATACTTGGTTCTTAATCTTTCTCTCTACCTCGAACTGCCTTTTATTTCTGAGCGCCTTGCTTGGCAATACCTCACTTTTGGCTTGAGTATTGAGCGCTTGCCCGCGTTAAGTCCAAGTGAGGAAGGCATAGGGTTTTGTCCCCGGCCTCGGATATACCAAATAACTTAAAAATGGTGGTTTGTATTCCCTGCTAATCGTTCAGCATTACGGCAATAACTGTTTCATTCGTTTTTAGTATAATGTGACCTGATGGAATGCTGTTCGGCATGGGTTGTCAGTAAGATAGCACTATAAATTCGACATCAGACCCGCGCTATCGCAAAGAGGCAACATACACGCATACAAAGCACACATATAGGCACGTCCTTCAATGACCGTAGTTGTTGTTAGCACGTTAAACAATGTGCAACCAACCAACCTGATCTATCTGTTAGGTCAATAGACGTTTGTGATGTGTATCGCCTCATGTAGTCTTCATACCAGGTATATAGTTGTTATTACATCTATTTTGTCTCGCGTCGATACCTGATCTATCTGTTAGGTCAATAGACGTTTGTGATGTGTATCGCCTCATGTAGTCTTCATACCAGGTATATAGTTGCTATTACATCTATTTTGTCTCGCGTCGATACCTGATCTATCTGTTAGGTCAATAGACGTTTGTGATGTGTAACGCCTCATGTAGCTTTTACGTATGTTGTGTCTGTTGCGTTTATGCATGTACTTGTTGTAGCGATTTCGTCTTAAGTTGTCTGTGATGTTAATACCCGATATAGAAATAACGGTAATCGTCGTCAGCATTGTAAACCGTGATGTGGCTACACGTCTAATATTGCTTGTTGCGTTAATATCTCATGAAGATTTTACAGATATTGCTGTTTTTGGTGTCAACAACTATGGTATTATTTAAGTATATCATTGATTTGGATTAATGCAGGTTGTAGCCATTGCATCTCTATCATTGTCAATATCGCTATCGCCTGTTGAACCTTTTTAGGTCTCTCGGTGCCGGCGTTATTAATACTGCGCATATTTAAGAAATTTACCTGACAAGCCCACTTAAACACAGCCAAACTTAATATATTTGCAGTGGAACCATTATGGTTGCCCATCATTATCAAAGAAACAAAAAGCCATGTTCAAAGTATGCCTTTTAATAAACAGTTTCCGTAAACAAGGCATACACATGGCAGTCAATGAGATGTTTACACATTTCTCTATTGACAAAACAAATACAACTTTAAGCAGCAACTCTAGTCCTCGAATGACTTTTTTTGTAAGTTGACGTGGTTGTTTGGGAATTATCTTCCAGATGAACAACCAATCGCATGTAATATCTTACACCTGTTTAAGTCAGTGGCTGTTGGTGTATTAGCGGCAGCTAATCTCATCTCTTGCAGGGGACATTTTGCTGTAATCATACGATTTAAGAAGCAATCACCACATTCGAAAATGTGTCGAAATTTGGCTAAGTCCAAATTGGGGCTTCTTCGCTAGACATACATCATCCGCAATATTGACCACCATTATTGTCTGAGTCTTTTTTCTTCTCCAACACTCCTGGCAAAAATCGGCTTACATCAAACGTCTGGCTGAACAAGACCATTACGGCGCGCGCGTCCTATTTGCCGCCTCTTCTAGAGGAGTATATAATTACTGATAGGATGACAATAAACGTAAATGACGGACAGGATAGCCATGTTTCCGTACTTTTTGGGTGGGTTCGATGTGATTATTACTTCTCCACAAACAAGGAAACCCGTCAATTGCCTATAATGATCCGAACACCTCCTCATAAGGTCACCAACCTGAGCAGATTGGCATGGCACAACATCACCTGATCGAATTAACAACATGGATTACATTTGCAAAGATGTGTCAGAAAACATTTTACAGATTTTATGACTACCAAATTTAACTGGAACGATTTCGTGCCCTATGCCGATACACTGTGTGGGCTTTCCTACTGCTCCTGTAATTTTTAACAAATCATGAAATTACAGCGTACATATCATCATCATTAACATATTAAAGGTCAATTAAATGCACCAAAACCCATTTATATGATTAAAATCTTCCTAGTTTGAATCTGTTCACTTTCTGAAGGTTTTCGCAAGCATGCATTGCTGCATGTCAAATTTGATACTAACATCAAATCTCCTAAAATAGTGCCTCTTAAGATTGAAGGAATATATAATAAACAGTTATGTGTCTCCTCCATGGTTTATAGATATATGTAACATGTTTTGGTTACTAAGGGTTAACACTTTGAAACGTTTGCAGATTTACGATACCAAACGCTAGCACCTTGGTTGAGTAGAAAAATACTTTATTCAACACAAAAAAAAACAAAATGTCATTATGGTCTCCACAGATTGGCATCGAAAATAGGAAAAAAATATACATCGATCAACTCCAAAACAGATATCGTAAGGAATGACAGTTAAAAAAACTGTACAAAGATATACTTCTACTTAAGAAACATAATTGTTTGCAGAACACGACACTATTCAATGAAAAATATCAGAATTTAATTGAAAATAGATTATAAAGATGAGTTTCTGCTTCGCGTCTTTGTGCAACATTGTGCAAATGTTCAGTTTTCTTGGAAAACGATGTAAGATCCTTCATATGTCTACACTGTCAAATGTATCGCAATGGCTGGCAGGAGATCAATGTGCGAAAAAACAGCCAATCACAGGTTAGGTCACAAAAAAATCAGCCAATCACAAGTAAGGTCGCATGAATTGCTTGGTCTTCAGTACTCTCCGTTGTCCTCGGGACCATCGGCTGAAAATATAAAACAACCAAGATAATAAACAACGATTAAATCATATTCGTTTTTAAATCGCTATTATATATATATGTGGTTTATTTTTGTTTGTTTGGAGTGTATCGTCCTCTCAGCTGTTTTGTTTCATTAAGTGACAATATCTAGTACACATTACGGTGAATGATATATATATATATATAGTTGGGGCAAAGAAGTCATTCCAACAGTGTCGACAAGTTTAGGTTGTAAAATTTTCGGAGCGATCCGCTCCTTTTTCAAGACACAGTGAAACAGAACAGTTACATGTACATATACATCATATTACAAGAAGATAGAACTGATATACTATAATTGAAAATATAGCTATTATATAAAACCAATAGTCCCTCGGCTAAAGACTGCCGAAGGCAGCAATTAAGCTGAGAGCATCGCGGACAAGGGAGGCTGATGTCGAGGACCTATTCTTGCGCAAGATGCACTATCACATACAGTGAGTCAACGTATAATTGGAATAAGTGTTCTGTATGTAAATGTATAGGAATTTAAAACTTTCAGTGCTGCCATAGATGATGCAATATCATTTGTTTTGTCTGTTAACCCGATATTAATCAAAGTAAATAATATATATTGCGAATGAAGTCAGACACCACACCAAATACAAAACTTTATCATGTTAGTTTGATTGTGTTGTTGTGTAAAAATATCAGGTGTTCTCATTTAAGTCTATAAATGTATTGACCGGAATAAGTATACAGTTTTGCCATGTAAATATGTCACATCTTGACCTATAGAATACTACGGTGTAACGTTGACTTTTTTGCTAATTGCATTTAAAATTGTATGCTGAAGAAATATTGAAGATGAATCTTTGAATGCTTAGTGTTTTAACAGAAATGCTTAATTGAAATGTCGCATACAGTTATATGTAAAGAGGGTCGTTAATGAACTTTGATTACACTAGCGTAAAGAATATCTTAATATGACAGTTAATTGTGACATTACTGCTAGATATGGTAAATAATAGCAATAAATTGATTCAAATATGTATTGAAGATATGGGGGTTTCCGTACTCGTGCATAAAGAAGATACAATATGTTGTTGCTTACGTTTAGATTTATTCTGACGAACAAAGGTAATATCTAGCACATTTCTACACGTTAGAACCTTGAAAGACCATAAAAGAAATCTAGTGCAGTGTAATACACAAGATTTATGCTGTTGTTACTGACAGAGTGGTGATACTGAGTGTGTTAGTTTCGTTTTCTACTGTTTATTTAAGTGTTGGCGATAACATCACGACATTCAGCCATCAATTCACCCAAACAGATATATACCTACACGTGTTGTGTGATCCGACACACGTTGTCGATCATCACGACGTCATCACTTAGCCTCTATGTATCGACCAATTGCATGTCTTGACACCTACTTGTCACAATGAAGGAATTCCATTTCCGGTCATTTTTCCGTATTACAGAAGTTTATTCCGGAATACTTTTCGATTAAATCATAGACTTTTCTTGGAGCCCTCTGTCTATCGTGAGAAACAGGTTTATGTTTAAATATCATTCCAGTGTAACAGCCTAGATTATCATGCATTAACTCTTTTTTCAATTGTTGTGCAAGATTATAGAAAGTAGAGAGAGGTAGTGACACGTGTTCATCGTCATTTGGATCTGATCTGTTCCGACTTCATGTCATGTGTCAATTGTATATGTGTTGAATAATATTTAGAGATCGAAATGGGTTTGTATGTAGCAGTGTCTCACGCGAAAGAAATTTATTTCCGGTTAGTTTCGTATTTAAGAAGATTTTACCTGAATACTTTCGATTAAATCATAGACTTTTCTTTAAGCCCTATCTTGCTGAGAAAAAAGGGTTATGTTCCAATGTCTTCCCAGTGTAGCAGCCAGGATTATAAAGCATTCCGTTTCAAGATTGAAGAAGATAGAGAGAGATCAATATTGTACACCGTAATTTGGATCTGATCCCAATTCATGTCATGTGTCAATAGTATAGGTATTAAAGAATGTTTAGAGAACTAAATGGATTTGTATGTAGCAGTGTCTCATACGTTTTTAATGAAAGTATTCTTTTTTGAAATTGAACTATGATCAATTTATTTATTTATTTCTGTTTTCGTCCTTTATCTTAAACGACAACATGAGCAGAAATTGAGATACTTTTATAGGAATTGAGCTGTAGACAAATGTGGCACCCACCCATAACCTAACCAACTGCTGAATTAAAACAAAAAGAACATTATTGGTGTCAATTTACCTGTGCTATAAAAGTTAATGGGAGTTAAGGTAAATGTTGTCTGATTGCTCATTTCTCCTCGTGCGTGCAGACAACCACATCTATGTTACCTTTCATTTCTTTCACCAATACCATTATTGTATTTCCATATTGTATAAAGTGACCTTAAATCTATACAAAAGGTATAACGCGTTATCGTTTGTAAGTTCAATATATCAGTAATCAGGGTTCAACAGTCATCCCCATTCCAATCATGACGTCACAAACGTCTTCAGAACTGATTTAAAATCAAACGAAGCAAATACGGCAAATGTTGTTGAAGATTGAATTGCAAACTTCACTGGGGCTGATTCGACCAAAAACTAAAAATCTACCCTAGTGATAAGTACAAGTAAGAAACCAAAGCAAGCATCATTTAGACCGACTCAAATTGAACGTATAGTAGTTTACCTGTGATGTGTATTAAAAAGAAATCCAAGTATAATTGGGGTTAATTCAAACGATAGGTTTAGTGTTATGGTGTTATAGTGTTTTCGGTAGGACAATATACTAAAGGCACACTTATCATGTTAATCGGACAATTCACTATTTGGCGATCAGAGAAGCAGAGCGTTTTTACGTTACAGTGTTTGGTGTATAGTGGTTGGGTTTATGTAATTGTATACATTTGTGTGGACTTTGTAAAACCTATATGAGAATTTTCCAGGACAGATTAAGATGTAGGCATGCAAAGGGTGTCTAGAATGTAGGCGTGTAGTTAATTTGCCATGTTCTCTGTAATACTAATTCAGTTGGTAATGGCCTCGTTTGGTGTTATCGGGTCCAGCTTCAAATAAGTACCTAAGGGCAAAATTCGGCGTCACAAAGAATAATTATTCTTTGATCACATCTAGGGTATTGCGTGCAAAATGTGTCTAAAAATGATGTCTTAGAGCAAGACTGATTGATGTCACAATATATATATATATTCTTACAGAGGAACTTAACACAGAGGTGATAACACATTTAGATATGTATGCGGTATTCGAATCCGTTAAAATACTTATCGATACATTTAAATTTATTGATGTTACAATAATCAATGAAGAGCAATTTTTAAAATGATCTAAGCCATGTACCAAAGTGACATTAATACAAACAATACCCCGCGTTTTAGTCTGCCCCTACACGACATGGAAAAACAAACCAGGATGCCCTTTGTGTCTATAAATTCACTTGCTATACCAGGACTCATAATATACCATTGTTTGCTAGTAGTACAGGCAATCCGTTATGCTAATTAAACGTAACTGATATGTTCGTAATAACTGGCTGTTATTGAAATAATCTGGAATCGTTAGTTGCCGTGTCAGGTGATTTAGTCGTACTGGTGACAGTCCCTCGATAAAAAGGCAGGAAATCGGCTGTTGAATGGTTTCCATAACCATATTTGACGTTATAAAAAGTCTCTATTATTTCTGTAAAATGTTTATGAGTAATGTTTTGTAGGTTACATCGAAGGTTCCTCTCAGTCTTTGTCGCAGCATGTCATATACAGCATAACTTACTGTCGTTGATAATAACGAAGTAATACACGGACAATACACAACAATGACGAAGGGGCGTCATTTAATGCATACACCGATTTTCATTCTTGTTTCATCATTGTATTGCTGGTCAATGGGTAACTGTTAATTGAACATCGTACTGCAACGCTATTGTTTAATCTTGATTTAGGATCCTGTTAATATTCGAGAATTATATATAGGAAAAAGCAACTAACTTAGAAATTGTACACAATTACATTTATACTTGCGAGCGCCCATTGGGCGCTAATAATGTTACAGAACATACGTACAACTTTATTATTAATATGTTCGGATCCAATCGATGTTTACATACATTATTTTGATATGAATACTGGAATATTGAGTGACCGTCAAAGTGCACCATGGTATTATTACTGTATCAATTCGATGTGATTAATTGATGTTTTAAGCACGATGGCTTTGTAAATTAATTATTTAAAAAGGTCAAACGTTTTTCACCTGAAACAGATTTATTGTTGTTTAGATCACAAAATTGAAAGTGATATCAAATTTCCTGTTATTTGTCAGTTTGTTTATGCGAACTTTGAAACAAACATTTACATGTTGTTATAGCAAATGACAAGGTTAATGTGTTCAAACGTTAATATTTACTACTCTATTTATTAATTGAAGAATTCAAAAACTTGCAGGAATCTTGCTTAAAATTTCAAATTAACGAAATTGATTGAAAAATGAATCCTACATGTTAACTTGTAATTCATATTTTCGTAATGCTTTTATACATATAGCAGTAATATTTGCGTCGTCATTACAAAATCTGGTAACAAAGTTACGAGAGTCAACAGTTGTGACCAATTATGTAATAAGTGTAATAGCAAGGCACATTTAAGGGTTATGTACCCATGGGCGAATATCACCATAATATTAATCTTCAAAAATTAAACAAAAATTAATAGTATTTGATGTTGAAATGTTCTCTTTGATATACTTACATGTGTCAAAGGACCGCTTGCCAAGCATGGGGAAGAATCGGAAGTCTTGCGTCCTCCGAATGAGACGCCGCCCCAATGCAATTCTGTTGATTCGCCTGGCGCGGCCGTACGAGGATCCATCCCTGAGCGCTCTTGACAGATTGAACGATGAAGGGGACCTCTTCCTGCGAGAGTGGATGTCCTCAGGCTGTTCATTGTACATTTCATTGTCTGGAGAGGGCGCTGACCTTTTACCAAGTGATCCATAGAACATGGGGCGACGTTTACCAAGAGATCCATAAAAAGATGGACGCAATTTCATTCGGCGCTTTTCCATGTCATCATTTTCTTCATAATCATCATCATCAAATCTCTTTCCCAATGAAGCAAAAGCATATCTACGACGTTTTTCTAAATCCAAATCGTCCACACGTTTTCCTAATGTTCCAAAAAACTGTTGTTTAAATCTCCTTTTTTCCATATCGTCACTTCCGTCAAAGTCAGTGCTGTCATCTGTGGAGGTTCCATCACGTTTTCCCAGATTGCCGTAGAAACGGAAGTTTCTACTACGGCCTCGTTTGCCTAATGATCCAAAGAAAGGCATCCGCCGCTTGTCTACATCCTCTTCCTCGTCGTCCTCCTCCCCTTCATCGAGATCTCTCTTTCCAAGACTTCCAAAGAAGTACTTGTTTCTTCTTCCTCGTTTGTCTAGGTCATCACCGAACGTTTCCTCGTGGGTTTCGTCCCCATCACGTTTCCCTAATCCAGCGAAAAATGATGGCCTACGTTTCCCTAGCGAACCGAAAAACATTTTCCGCATCCGCCGCTTTTCCATTTCCTCTGAATCCATTCGTTTTCCAAGAGCTCCATAAAACCCATACCTGTTTCCTCCCCTTCCCCTCTTGTCAGGAGAATTGCTTAACAGTAAATCGTCAATATGCATATCATTTGTACTCCGTTTCACTGGTTCTTCGTGAAAAGTGTTGTAGTCCAAACCGGCATTTCCGGCAGCTGTGTCCGCCTCCCGCTTCTGAATACTATTAACTAATTTAGTGTCACGTGACGTGAGGCTCTCCTTTGAGCAGTGAACCGCAATAACAAGACACAAGAAGGCGAATAGGGTCGTCAGGGGCTGCGATTTGTGTTGTCCATTCGTCATCTCAACGTGTTTGCACCTGTAACAAAGAACACACATTTATGAATTTTGCATATAAACCTCTGGCAAAGTTCGCAAATATTTTCGATAATTTGTATGCAAAGAAATACCAAGGTACACACATATAACTGATTTTTGCATGGAAACATAAAAGACAAGGTATTCACATACCTGATTGGAGAATAAAAAGCAGGTTTACTATTTTAAGTGTCCCTGAGTAGCCCCCCACCCCAAACAAAGCAAAACAAATTTGTCGACAGACAGATATAAGCTTATATAGTCTTATTTGGAAGGTCTCAAAAGCTACATGTACCGAAACAAGTTAGATGCTTTATGGTTAAAAATCTGATTTATAACGGAAAGATGGTGGGCGAAGAAGAAATGGTTAGTTCCTTGATAGCATTAGCAACATTTCAATTTGAGCATTTTGTGTTTGAGTGGTGGATTTTGTTTAAATGATGAAGACTTTTAATTTTGATTGGTTTATTTTGGTTTAGTATACAGTTAAAGTATGGGGTTGAGGGATATAGCAAGTTTCTGGTGTCCCGAGCCCAGGTCTATTTCCCGAGGCGAAGCCGAGGAAAATAGGCATGGTCAAGGGAAACCAGAAACTTACTAAATCCCTCAACCCCATACTTTAACTGTTTTATTATACCGATACACAATGGAGAGATAGTTTTTACTAGAAAATATTTGTAAACCATAAGATGTATAGCTTCACGTCCCAACTACCCTTTTGATCGCGCGTCGCTTCCGAGTTCGGTAAAAAAAACTCCGCCCACCTCTCGCCTGATTGGCTCAGCCGAAACACCCGAGTGTAGGTGTGTTTTAGTTCAGAAGGCGTGTTTTAGTTCCAAGACTAACACACATGACTAAAACACAGTCAGGCAAAAGTGGGGATATATTCGATTTAACCATTTACTTTTACGGAGTAAATAAAGTAGAGGTATAATAATTTTGTTTAACGTCCCATTAACAGCTAAGGTCCTTTAAGGACATACTTCCATGTGTGTAGTGTATGCGTGCTTGCTTGTGGGTATACAGAAGACAGGGTATGCTGGTTTGCTTGCCTCCTTGTGATAGCGTGTATCTGATGCCGACTTTATAGTGCTAGCTCACTGAAATACCATGCCAAAGGCACCAAGCTCAGCATTCCACCCGGTCACTTGATACTGACAACGGTTGAACCAGTTGTTGCTATTCCCCTAAATGCTGAACGTTAAGCAGGGAATAGCAACTAACATTTTTTAAGGACTTCGGTATGTCCCGGCCTTGGGACAGAACCCATTGATTTCCTCACCTAGGCGAACGCTCAACTTTCAGGTAGAAAATAGTTTTGCCTAGCAAGGCGCTAGGAAATAAAAAGTAGTTAGAAGTTGAAGGAAAGATAAAGATCCAAAATATTGCGATGGGTGCAGCAAATTTATCTTGGTCGCTTTTGTGTTCCTAAATAGTGGACACCAAAGAAAATCCCCATTTCTGCAGGGGGTTCCCACAATAGTCGCCTCATACGATATATGCAGTGGATAACAGCAGGTGTATTCTTTTCCCGATCCCCCACCTACAGGGATGTTTCAATTTTGAAACGAAATTTGAATTATTGATCGGTAAAAGAGAAACATAAGTTTACGATGATAGTCGCCCACTGAACTCGGAACGTCGTCCATCGACACTGATAATGGACGGATTGGCAGAGTGGTTAACGTTCCGGCCTTTAAAGCACGCGGCCGGAGTTCGATCTCCGAAGTCGTCGTACGCATTGAATATTCAGACAAAGTGGTTTTTTCCAGCCCACTCAACTCCAACTACCAAGGTTGAATATAATGACCTGGGATGGAATATATATTATGTTTGTGCTGTAGTAAACAAGTCAAGTGAAATTATAGCCTTTTAAGCACCGTGCTACAAAAAGAACACAATACATCTCCAACAAACACACAGTTTTATTGATGTATTATCTAATGTATATTTTAATTGTTTTTTATTGAATAAATTGAATACCTATGTACTGTAAAGCGATTTAGAGTGGCTTAGTCTAGCTTATTCTAGCTATATTAAATGATGCATATCATTTTTATTTATAAATATATACTATCGAAGACTTTGACAGACTCTTAAAGTTTCCATGCATGATTCTATACTGAAAAGACAAATATTTTACTAACGAATTGATTTAATTTGATTTTTATAGAGATTGTGAATAATCAAGAGCCTTAATCTGTGTCATCCGGTGAAACCATATTCTTTAGTCGGCTGAGTTCTATAGGGTACTATTCCGTCTTTTCGTATTGCAGAGTTATCTTCTCTTGTGAGCAGGTATTGATTGTTACGTCATTTGTTTGTGAGAGTAACGTCATCAATTTTTGAGAAAACGACGTAATTTTCTCACAGAAATCAATGACGTAACAATCAATACCTGCTCTCAAGAGAAGAGAACGCAAAGACGGAAAAGTGACTAATGGTATGCCAATACAACAAGATAAATAAAAAAAAAAAAATGGAAATGTTTACTTATTTGCGTATGTCGCGTTTAAATAAACGTAATTTTAACTCATGATTAGTAAGGTTATCTATGTTAGCTCGCATATCAAAATCGCACACGACGACGTGAAAAATGAGAGTCCGCTCAATTGGACGTCTATTATACCCAATAAATGAATAGCATTGTTTAATAATTATAATATATGTAAGGAAGTATGAGAAGCAAGTATTTATTTTCTGGAATAATGAGACATTTTACGAAATATGAAGATATTTTATTGCATGACGCGTTTGGTAACATAGGATCATAGTTTTAATTATAGCGATTTTTTTTAAAACCAATCATTTTATTAACATTTTATGCCTGCGTTTATATTCCGTTAAACCATTCGACTAACAAAACAAATATAACACGTCCTCACATATCTCGCAAACACACAGCACGACTTCATAAAACATGATCGACAGTTTTACATAAAAAGAATCCGGTTGCATCATTCAGATATGACTTGAAATGCTGGGATTACGAGGTTTCGGATGCATAGTCATAACGCGATAAGTGTCGCCGGTAGTCCCCCAGGTGCCCTAGCCTCCCAGCGTCTCTTGTTCCCGATCATCTCACATGAGGGAGACATAGGGCACACATTGATGGTATCCGTAACCACCACATTGATAACGTCGCCGTCTTTAGTTTAAATAAAGTAATGTGCGTGTGTATATAAATAGCAATACCACACCTTTTCAACTGTATACTGGCAGCGACCATGGCACTGTAGTAAGGCTGCAATGAGTCCAACCATTATTTCTACTTTTCAAGGACTGTCCACAAACATTCAGTCATCATAAATCTCATTTGTATTGAATCAAAGCAAAATGTGCCTTGGCTACGAAGATTTGAGCCTACGAACATTTAAGTATTTTCATTGAACAAACAAAAGTTTGACGCGTTAAAATTGACTCAGGTACATAAATCTGTTTTGCAATAATTCCTATTCACACACAGGATATGGGTTTTCATCTGTAAGCCATATATGTCCTAAACGTAAAATTATACGTTGATATCCAGGCATACCTTCGATGTTTCGTTTGCCATACTGAACGTATGTAATCGACAGTATTCGTAGATAGAATTGATCGGCACCGTTTTGTAAATATTGACGCGGAACTTGACTGATAATATTGGAATTAGATATCAGTGATAAGCCTGTCGGTAAAGTAAACTAACGAAACGCTACACATGGTCAGGTAAAACACTATATGTCCCATTAGCTAATTGGTCAGGCAAGTCTAAGTTTTCTTATATAACACCGAACGGGCGTAAGTACGATGTATTCCACAGAGGCACATCGGCGTGTCGAGGAAACATTTCATCGACAGCATTGAAATCGATCACAGTGTTATATTTCATCATCAACTACACGGAGGCGCGCTTAATTAATGTCTAGAGGTGACAGCCTATGATGTTGTACAAATACGTGGTATCTAAGGGGAGTTCGACCCGGTACTATCATTGTAATTTAAAAGTGCCCTGCTAATTGGGGAATTATCGCGGATTAATTAAGCTTATGCTGCAACTAACGCGAAGTACGTGATCCATTTTGATGTTATTTGTAGATTATCGGGCGTTGTTTTACATTAACCCAAAAGCTGATGACATGATGATAACTAAACTCGTCAAAAATCATCAATAAGCATTATCCTAAAGTGGAATTACAGTATAATAGAACTGAGGTATAGGTCACGCTAAAATAGACGTACCGGACTTTACAAAGGTCAGCAGTCAATAGATCAAGATGGCCTGACCTATACAATTGCTGTTGTTGATCATTATGCTTATTGCAGCAATGCTAATCAGACCGTTTCTATTAATACAGAAAACATCAGCTGGACATTAAAGTTAAAAGTATGAGACAGAATCGAAAATATAACAAATATACAGAAGTGTAAACAGAACCGTTATCGAAAAACAAAATCGATAAAAAGTAGGGCAGAATATGAACAAAGGAAAGACTCTTGAAAAAAAGTACAAGGAGATCAGGCGGAAACAACGAGGACTTGAGGAGGAAAACCCTTACATGTTTGGGACGTAAACAGTTTAGATATGTTATTATATTCTTTCGAATATCTGAACATGTTAGTTACTTTTCAATGTTGAACATATGAAAAAATAATAGCATGTTTAAAATATGTTGCCACAGAAAAGCTTAATTTCGATTAGTTTTGACATTACGAGTCGACACCAATGTACTATGTTTTATGATTACATGTAGAAAATGTAATAATAAGATATACCAATTATGTCGAGAAAGCGCTAACTAAGTTGTGGACCTGTTCTAGTCTAATTACAGAGATAAACCTTTGTCAGACATCTAGCTTATTGTATTTTCCGGCGATACAAAATTGATACAACTTTAAACCTCAAAGATTATGACTTTGATCCAAGCTTAGAAAAGTGTCTGGTTCGGAACAAGCAGTCTGGTAGACGTAACACATGTTCGTGAGTTTTTAACGACCTTTATGAGAACAAAAATCGTGTAT